ATAATCGTCTCCTTCAAAGAATACGGTTCAAAACCTGCATTAAATAAAGGTTAATAGTTAACCTGTTATTTATCTAAGATGTCGTTCCGAAGAGTTTTGTGACTGCCAATGGAATACAAAGTCAATAATTCGTTTTTCTGATTTACCAATCATTGTCCAAAAGTCAGATTGCCGCCTTTGATAATAGTCGACTCAAGTACGTGTTTACCAAACAACGTTGTGTTAGTAGGTACTACTTATTGTAAGAATGCCTCGAAAAAGATCCAACCTCTCCCAGAGCAGCAGGAATGCTAAAAGGATGAGATTAGTTCGATCACAGGAATCTGAAGGAAATCATGAGCCAAGACTCAGGTTTGTCCATCGATCGTGAATCTCATGCATTATCGCTTGAGTCTGAGACATTTACTGATAGGGAAATCCATCTGAGCTCTCAGAGGGTTCGGACAGCAAATGCCCAGTCTCAGGAGACACTAGAAGATCGGGAAGCACGACTCACTGCCGATCGCGTTTCCAGTGAGCCTATGTTTCGTGATGATAATAAATAAAGCCCAAGGTCAGATGCTAAAAGTAGTGGGTGTAGATCTTAGTGTTAACTGCTTTTCACAAAGTCAACGCGGTCACACGGCTATGTAGCTCTGTCACATGTTAGCAATTTTAGCAACCTGTATACTTTGACCCCTGATGGCTATACGTGTAATGTCGTGTATAGAGCAGCATTACTTTAAATTAGATTTTTCTAAATACCCAAATTACGGTGATTATAAACCAAAAGATATGTCCTAAAACTGCTGCCCTAAGTCGCCATTCCACGCGGACGGAGTCGCGGGCACAGCTAGTTTCTAAATAAACTGATACTGAAAACGAAGAAATCACTAAAATCTATATTCCTTTATCGGAATAAATAGTTTTCTGTCAAAGAGAAATGACATTTGATTTGTACCGATAGTGATTTGGATAAAATATTCAATTCCCTACCATTCTACATACTCATCTCAAAACACGTAATTTTGGAAATATTTCGGTAATGAATCCGACCGACGATATATTGTCGTCCATTTTAATCTGAATGACGTCACAGTTAACGCGGCCGGATTTTATTAGGTTTGCGCGCCAATTTTGTTGTCAAGCAAGAGTTATCCTCCCAAGTTCTAGATGTACTTAGTTTAGGTCATAGTTTATGGCGCGTGATATCATATCAGATTTATTCGATTTTCTGTTTTTGTTATCTGTAAAAAGAATGTATGCGTTGTATGTATCTTCATCTAAAATCGTGAACCCAATTATTGATATGAAACTTTGCGAACATAAAAAATGCGTTTTGACCATTCCGACGAATATAATTACGTTAGTGTCGAATGGTAGGAATTTTTATCTTTTGCACCACAGTTCGAATTTATATGAAATCTACAAACAGAACCATAACAGAACTACAAAATAGTAAATCTACTAAATATCATACTAAATCTATAAAAAAAACACCTCCCCCTCTACCAGGGCATAAAGTAAAGTAAAGAACATTCTCACTTGTTTTTTATATTTTTTTACAATAAACAACTTTTTTTCTATCTTCCTTTTTATTTGTTGACCTTACCATCTGTCAGTGCAGGTACTTATACGCCATTTTCGATTCGTTTCTTTATGTCAATAAAGCGGCATAAACAAAAAAACAAATCTAGCTGAAAGAGCACAAGCGACGCTCGATGTCATATTATTTGGGAGACAGACAAATTATTTAAGCAACACCACACCGCGTAATTGGTGGAAGTCAAAATTATTTCAAAATGATATAAGTTATGTCTTAATAAAAACTACAAACAGGAAAAACGCTTTGTCTCTTATTGAATTATTTATCTGAGTACCTGGTTTATTTCTCGGTCTTATTTATTATTTATGATTCAATTAAAATCCAAAATCCGCGTCGAATATTAATATACTGCCTCTTTGGAAACAACACAAAGTAGTATTGTTTTAAAGATTTTAATGAATGCGGCATCAATCGACAGAGAAAAATTCGCTGCTTTCGACTACATAGTATTTAATTATCTTATTTTCAACCTAGATGTCGCTTAAACCAAATAGCCTTTCACCCCTCGATATCATATCACCGCCCGGGAGATAAATTAAAATCGCGATCATTCAACGCGACCTCAAATATTATTGTGTATAATCTATGAACGCGACTGTTGCGCGCAGGCGCGTAGGCGCTTTAGTACGTACCTACATAATACAAATAAATACACTTATTACATACATATTAGTAATTATTTAAGATTTAAGCTTCACTCTTCAGTCGATTTCCAGATTCCAGAGTTCGTCAAGAAGTGACTTGAAGCGAGTCGCCGCTAGTGTGTATGTGTTTACATTAAGCGCTCTTCAAAATTCAATCGTATGTATTTTGATTTCATTATTTACGTAACAATTTCCAAACGAGTTCAAATAAGTATAATAATCTTACTTGTTTTTATTATTGTTACTTTCATTATGTTATTTGTTCAATTAAATAGGTAGTTAACTCGTTATTTAGGTAGAGTGATGGTAATTTTAGGTTATGTTTCGCCATTTATGTGATAGTTATTAAATATATTGTCCTAAGTAGGTACTTTCTATACTAATATATAAATCTACAGTGGTTTTTACGGATATTCCGTTATAACTACTGAACCATGCATCCGATTGACTTGAAACTTGGTATCCATGTAGAAAATACATAATATTAATATGTATATGGCTAAACTTTCCTTTTGGGTCCGTCGATTTGAAAGTTCACAATATTTTTGTAGATAGTACTCATAAATAAAAATCTTTTTGCAAAATTTCAAGTTGCGGAGACTCACGGTTTACGAGATATAATTTTTTAAAGTTTCCGTAAATATTAGAAAAATCGTCAAGGTAGATGTCACATTTGACGTTTCACGTTCCATTCACGGTAAGCGTGTATTTTGTTAAATTTTATATCATGTTTTTACCGAAATATATTTTATTATTTTAATATATTCACAGAATAAATTTGTTGTAATTAATGTGCATTGTAATTGTTTCTGTAATAAGCAATTATATTGACTTTTTTACACAAAAAGCAACAAAATTTTGTTTATACTGTGGAACGGAACGTGAAATGACGCATTTTTTTTAATAGCGTCTTTTTATCTGTCTCTGTAATAAACTAACTTTTTAAATAAGATTTAAATATAAAACAGTAAAATGCTTGTGTTTTCGAAATAAAATTGCAAAAATATTCGAAAAATATCGAAAACCGAATCAGAGCAGCCCACTTTCTACTTGGTCTTGTCTGTCCTACCCCTAGAGTGTATATAAAAAACCGGAGGCGCGGAGAGAGAGCAGTCCTCGCCCGCTGTGACGGAGCACGGAAACAGTGCGAGGGGGAGCGGCTGACGCTGGTCGCCGAAGGCGACCATCAAGCCGAAGCGACGGAGGGGAGCACGAGTGACCGTGCTTCGGCACGCAAGGGCGGAAGGGCTGCTCTTCCCGCAGCGCCGGAGATAAGGCGGATTCAAACTTAAGCTCCCTTGGAGTTTAACTAAATAATGCAGTTTTAATCTAAAAAATTAACCATGGATATTTTCATAGCCATGGGGATCTGCGGCTTGGTGATGGTGCAGTGGTAAGCCCTTACACCCCTCCCTCCACAACTCAAAAATAATGGACCATAATTGAAATTTTAACCCTATGTTGACTAAATAGTGCTATTCTAACCTCAAAACATTAACCGTGGATATCTTCATAACCATGGAGTTCTGCGGAGTGGGGATGGTGCAGGGGATTAACCCTTACTCCCCTCCCTCCCGACTCAAAAATTGATGGACCTTAATCTAAATTTTAACCTTATTTTGACTAAATAGTGCTATTCTAACCTCAAAACATTAACCGTGAATATCTTCATAACCATGGAGTTCTGCGGAGTGGGGATGGTGCAGGGGATTAACCCTTACTCCCCTCCCTCCCGACTCAAAAATTGATGGACCTTAATCTAAATTTTAACCTTATTTTGACTAAATAGTGCTATTCTAACCTCAAAACATTAACCGTGAATATCTTCATAACCATGAGGTTCCGCGGGGTGGGAATGGTGCAGGGGGTAAACCCTTACCCCCTCCCTCCCCCCACCCCCATCCCGACCCAAAAATTTACGGACCCAAAAGGAAAGTTTAACCATTATTTTTTTGTCAAAGCGGGACGTCTGCGAAATTATGTGATAAAAAAGTATTTAGTGCTTTACAAGTTTTTTTAAGGGATTTTATGACCTGGTAACTAAGACCTTTAAGTCATGTCTTATTTTAATTTATCTTCTTATTTTTATGAGAAATGATGAAATGAAATGAAGATGATTAATTTGAGACATTAATCAACTGGGATGAAATTAAATGAAATGAGATGAGATGATATGGGATGAAATATAATCTCAGTAAAATGGTGGTCATCTACTGAGACTTTTTCATTGGACTTTTTTGGAGGATCCCGAGAAGTGACGTCCAGCGGCTTTGTTTCATTTTCCCACATTTGTGCACTTTCACAGATATTAAACAGTTAATAAACCACCGTTATTACACATTTAAACCTGAAGAAACACTAAATAGACAAAATAAAACAAATCACACAACTTCACTCCTCGCGTTCCCGCCAAAAAGTCCCCATTTTCTTATAGAAGATAGCATAACACAAAAGAACCGAAAGCACTAAACACAAAATAGTTAGTACTCTGTAATAGTTTGTACCTCTTTTGTTAAATTAGCCTATTTAAACACTACTAGCTCTATGTTGAATTGAAAAAATCAAAGTTATCGTTTGGTCTGTTTGCAAAAGCGGAACTATGTCGGCCTCACTGGGGACAGAATGCCCGAAAGCGGGACTGTCCCGCCCAAATCGGGACGTATGGTCACATTAATTATACTAGTATTTAACGCTAACTTTTGCATATAATGCGACCGATCCATTTAAAACGGCGGCTCTTAAACTTATTTTGTCTTCTGCTCACTTTGAGAATGAATTATTTTTTAGCGCCCCCATTTTTTCTGCGTCTCTTGCCGTCCCTCTTTAGACCTGCAGCGCTCACAAGGGGGCGTTATCTCACACTTTGGAAAAGGCTGATTTAAAATATTCATCCCATAAATTTAACATTTTACGTTTACTATTTCAGATAAATATGGAGACAGAAGGACAGAAATTCTACAAACACAAAATCAAACTCAATACTTCGAACAATCACGAAATGTTTTCTGTACTGATACCCAAAGGAAGTACCTCTTATCATGAACAAGTCAATGATCAAAATATTATTAATTCGAAAAACATAGAATGCGACGTAATTATCAACGAAGTGATTATTAAAATGGAAAGAGAGGTGAAATATTTATTTTTTATTTAGTTTGTGACGCAGTAAAAAGTATTTCTATGTGTTATTTTGATATATAAACTTTGAAGTCGTCGTGGCTTAAAGGACAAGGCGTCCGGCACATTCGTATGTAGCGATGCACCGGCGTTCGAATCCCGCAGGCGGGTACCAATTTTTCTAATGAAATACACGTACTTAACAAATGTTCACGATTGACTTCCACAGTGAAGGGATAATATCGTGTAATAAAAATCAAACCAGCAAAATTATAATTTTCGTAAATACTGGTGGTAGGACCTCTTGTGAGTCCGCACGGGTAGGTACCACCGCCCTGCCTATTTCCACCGTGAAGCAGTAATGCGTTTCGGTTTGAAGGGTGAGGCAACCGTTATAACTACATTGAGACCTTAGAACTTATGTCTCAAGATGGATGGCGCATTTACGTTGTAGATGTCTATGGGCTCCAGTAACCACTTAACACCAGGTGGGCTGTGGGCTCCTCCACCCATCTTTATCAAAATATTTTCAATATTTTTTACATAAGAGAGCAATAAACATCCATTTATCCCTCCATCCTTATAAATGTTCGCATTTACAATTGTACTTAGGATGATGCGGAATTTAATACTGATTATTAATGTCACAAATATTTTCTTTTAGTATGAAGATGAAATAGACAACCCTGAATTAACAGAAACAGAAGGAACCATTAATAATGACAGCAGCTTTCAACGGGCTATTATTGACATCATACCTGAAAAAAATATGGATGTAATGAGGAAATCTTTAGAAGATGATAATGACAATGAACAAATAATTCAAAAAGCGGATGATCATACAATATGGAAGAAAAACAAACAGGCTGGATTTAAAAGAAGCCACATTGATTTCTTAAGGGAAAATGAAGGTTTTGTCCAGGAATCAACATCATGTAAAGAAACAGATGATCGGTCTTCAAATGATCAAGATGATCAAGCACCAAAGAAGAGAAAAAAAACAAGCCCAAAAGATGGAAAAGTAGATAATGCAGGATTAAAAAAGAAAAGAATAAATAAGAAAAAGATAAGAAAGGATGCTAGATCAAAGGGTATTCAATATGTTAAGGCAAATGGTACAATCGCGAAAGAAAGAATCATGAAACCGAATCCTTGCTTAGAAAAGAACTGTCCCTATAAATGTCAAGAGATAACCACGGAAAGAAGGAGTGCCATATTTAAACATTTCTGGGAATTGTCTATGGAAAGAAAAAAGCAATGGATAATCTCTATGACCACTAAGCAGTCCATCAAAAGAAAAAGATCCAAAAACTCCAATTATAGGAATAATACGTTCTTTTATTTCATAAATGATGGAGAAAGTCGGCGTCAAGTCTGTTTGAAATTCCTCATGAATACACTTGATGTCACCCAAAGGTACATTTATTATACATTGACGAAATAGGAACTTGGTATTACCGAAAGAAGATGGAAAAAGAAAATATATCCCAGTCTCTGTGTGTGAAAAGTGTCCGTTAAAATCTGCTAAAGAAGGGTGGCGCTACAGTAGCAACAGGGTAAATTTTAAAAAAGGCGCTGAAAGTTTATGGAATAAGATAGAGAAATAAAAAAGGACGAAAGAACTGTAAGCATTATAAAATCACAAAAAGTATTTTATTTAAAGCTGATAAGAAAATGCAATCGATGTCTCCATGTTTTACCACAGCAATAATTTTAGGTTATATTGACGAAATTAGTTTGGACTACGTAAACATGTGAGGTCTTTTATATTACACTGTCACTATCTACTCTAGTCATTAAATATATTAAATATATTATTTCCTAACTCACCATACTTCAATCAGTTAACAACTGCTCAATTCATATCATACCCTGTGCCTATGCTAGCGCCATTCTGGAGGATTTTTGAACTGTTATTTAGTGCTGAAAGTGGGACACTTTTTCAAGCTTCTCCCATATGAGACGGTTCTCCTTACCTCTACCCTCCACATAAGCGAGAAGTGTCAAATGTCAAGTCACGAATGCCTGTGTCAACCCGCGTCCAGTGTTGCCGTGGTAAAAAACTCAAAACCCACAGATTGGTTTCGAAAATTATAATAAAAAAATCCCTATGATATATTACTGTATGGACCCCTTCTCAATGGTCTACAATAAGCCAGCTAGCAAGGAAAGAACCGCGACCTTATAATGCTGAAAATCTGACACAAGGATTTATTGAATTTCGATGGCACATCTGAAAAATATTTCAAGGGTAAATCTTGTTGTAGGGGCAGCCGTTGTAACTACACTGAGACCTTAGAACTTATATATCTCAAGGTGGGTGGCGCACTTACGTTATAGATGTCTATGGGCTCCAGTAACCGCTTAACACCAGGTGGGCTGTGAGCTTGTCCACCTATCTAAGCAATAAAAAAAATATAATCTCAAATAATACTGAATTAGTATTATCTAAAGTTGATATTCCTACAATGAGACTGATTTCACTCGATCACTTATTACAAAATAATTCAAAATATGAATACTTGAGTAACTGGTTCTTTGATTAAGACTAAAAAGTAAATAAATATAATTGATGTTTCCACATCTAGACTGTTATACTTAATAAATTATTCTAAATAAATTCTTTAACCGATGCTACATTGTGTGTATTTCTTTGATTTGTTCAATATAAGCACCTGAGATTTTCGTTGACCGTGATTATATTTAGTAATATTTATCCTTTCAATACTTTAAAAAATATTATATGTAAGTTTATGTGTATATGGTATGTAAATATTTGTGTATGTATTTGTCACCTTAATATATATAAATTACGTGTCACGTTGTTTGTCCGCAATGGACACCTAAACCACTGAACCGATTTTAACTTTTATTATTTTAAATATGTGTTTTGTTCCGACTTAGGCCATAGGATGGTTTTTATTTCGATTAATGGTCGCAATATTTATTAATTACTAATAAAATGATTTCTTATGTTGATTATTGTTATTAATTGTAAGTTTCATAAGTCTAAAACAGAAGGCTCCTTAAATCAATTTTTACAGCCAATTGTAATACTGCCTGACATTAATATCTCATAGATGGCGCTGTGTTAAAAAAACCAACGTTTCACATAAGCTACAATTTAGTGGCGTAAACGCAATACAGTTAAATCCAATTGTTCTTACTTTCTTAATTTTTGGTAATTAGCATAGCCGGCCACGTGTTATTTAGAAACAAAAACGTTAGCCACAGCAACGTGTGGCCGAGTCTGCTAGTTTAATATAAATTTCATTGCACCTAGACAGTCCGCTGGTGGTAGGACCTCTTGTAAGTCCGCGCGGGAAGGTACCACCACCCTGCCTATTTCTGCCGTGAAGCAGTAATGCGTTTCGGTTTGAAGGCTGGGGCAGCCGTTGTAACTATAATTGAGACCTTAGTATATCTTAAGGTGGGTGGCGCATTTACGTTGTAGATGCCTATGGGCTCCGGTAACCACTTAACACCAGGTGGACTGTGAGCTCGTCAACTCATCTAAGCAATAAAAAAAATAAAAATAACAATAATATAGTCCGAGAGCCGGCACCAATTTTTGGGTAGGTATTTGAGGCAAGTTGAAAACTTGGTCCATACTTCTCCTGCTACACCCCAACTCGGAACTACAGACATGGCTGGTGAGTAGCGGGGCTAAATAAGTTACGTCTCTACTACTACGTACTACATACGTTTCTTGCCAGTTCTTCTCAGGATGGAGGCTAGTTTTTGTGAATTGGCGGTAATTCTTTTTGACGTTCAACATGTATGTACTTTCATTTATGTTGAATATTTTTTTTTGATTTGATCTCTGCAACGCTTTTAGAGCCGATACCACATCCCTAGAATTATCGAGAATATTCTACACAAGTCGAGCATTGTGTTTCCGCTACATGACAATAGATGGCGTTGTACTTCTCGAGCGCTCTAGATCCTTCGATGTTCGTTCGACGATAGATGGCGTTACTCTTAGCAGCGTAACATTATAATAATATTATTATAGCGTAGTCTAAAAGCGGCTTTAGACTACCAGCGTATAGGTAGGGAATAATAACAAAACCATTTTGATTTAGCATTCTTTTTATTGTCGTCACATTATGGACATTGCAAATACTTAACACTTCAATCGTCTCCCATCACGATAAGCGTGTTCGAAAAGTCTCAAGTAATAGTTTACGTACAGTAAGGAATGCTAGATTGAAACAGTAATATTGGTTCTAACTAGAGCTGCCAGTTTTTTTCAGCCTATAAGGGGCAAATGCTTCAATATGAAAAAAAATATGCGGGATTTTAGTCTTTCACCCGGGACAAATAAAAGACAAAATTCTATCGTTGACATTATTTTTTTTATACTTCTCCGAGGTGCAAGTCAGATTTAACATATTTATAAAAATCAATACCACTATACGTATATATATATTTATTAGTACGGTTCGAATAGGGGACAGAGTCAGTCCCACCGGGACATTTTAAACTAAGCCTAAAATACGGGACGTCTGGCAACCCTAGTTCTAACGCTAAACCTACTGAGGCCGGATCAACTTGAATCTTTTATAAATTATTGTAAGTTTTAAATGTTATAAATCTTAATATATTTACAATTCTTCTGTTCATTTGTTAGATAGTTTCAGTGAATTCCTTCTAAACGGCTGGATCGATTTTGAATATTTTTTTTATTGTGTGAATTCGGGAATGTCTTAGATTCAGGATTCACGGTCCACTAATTACGTTTTTAATGAAAGCACACCACCACGCCTGACCCTAACTAATGAACAGTTGGCAGGTTATGATCTTTTTAATACGGTTTTATTAGCTTCAGACGTATTTAAGTTAGTATGTAACGGAATCTTTGAACATGGTTTTGACCCCCTTCAAAACGGAAGGATTGGGATTAACTCGATATTTGGCATACTTATTAAGGACCGATGACAATTAAACATTTAATAAAAATTATGAAAAAATTGAAATTCAACTTAAATATGAAAAATAAATGATAGTTTAAAAAAAGCGCGGGGTGCTTTTCAGAATATTATCAAAATAACCCTTCTACTCATATCTGTTCATAAAATATCTATAACTACTGATATAGTAAGCGGCACGTAAGTTGGCAAGGTTTTGGTGTAGTGGGGGTAATGTCGCGCATAGTGCACATTGCAACAAAAAATGGTCACTTATTGCCCGCATATAATTTTATTTTATTTTATTTTTTATTTGCGATAATTTGTTTTTAAGCCTGTGTGTTTAGAAGAAAGTTAAAGAAAAGAGAGGAATTCGTGAAGTGTATTAGGTGTTATAAATAAAATACAATTAAAAGTTAAGAAGTTTATTTAAAAAAATATACTTAATATTAAAAATTATGTGTCGCCGTCGTCACTATCATTTTCTAATAGTGCTACCCCTTGGATTAAATTTATGGTAGCACCTGAGCTGGTGGAAGGAGTTGGCTCCTCATCGTTGACATAACGAAGAGTCGCTGTCGTCACTGGCGTAAATAATAAAACGCTCAGTGACTGAATCGACTCTATGGTCATTGGTATTTGGCCCTGGCATTGCAAACAAATTTAAAAGAATAACACTCGTAACAAAAACTAAATTTAAAACAATAATAACAACTCGTAACAAAAACTCAATATAAACAAAGGGTTCCTAAAATTTAGTAGGCGCATGTGTAACCAGGAGCAAACGGAACGTGGACGCGGTGCGGGAGGGGAGGGTCGACTGACTCACCAATCGCGCGCTCGGAACGGTGCTACGTCTTTCCCCGCGTCCCGCTTGACAACCAAAGAGACCTAAAAAACGACTTCTGCGCATCTAACGACTCTTGCCAAGTTACGTGCCGGGGACTATACCATGCACCCCACGCTTTTTTTACAATAAAATCATTTTTTCTTACACTATTTTTTAATTCAAATTTATTAAAAAAAAAATCCTATTTTTTAGTTTGGATTTTCTATAAAATATTGTATAAAATATAATATATTGTTTTAGTTTTTTTAAACTATTATTTTTTTTCCTACTTATGTTGATAGCTTTGATAGGCTATTTCAGCTTTGCCTTGACGTGTAGGTGAGCTCAAAGCGGAGTGTTGCTAACACTGTGCGCCTGTACTACAAAATCCCACAAGATGTTCAGAACATCTGTGCTATAAAGCTTACTATAAAGTCAATAATTATCTAGAAGATTGCACAAAGTGGGGATGAGTTGCTCAATCCGGGCATTTCAATATTGTAATAATTGTTACGTTATAATATTCATTGTAAAATTGAATATTAAAAAAAAATCTATTATTAAAAAAAAAAGACATGCCCGCTGAGTTTGTTGCCAGTTCTTCTCAGGACGGAGGCTAGTTTTTGTGAATTGGCGGTAGTTCTTTTTGAAGTTCAACAAGTATGTAGGTACTCTCATTTATGTTGAATATTTTTTTTTATTTGATTTGATTTGATTTGATCTGACTGGCCCTAGCAAGAGCAGTGCTTTCCTGAATCTACCAATCTCCCACCGGATCGGAAACGCGACCCACTGAGAAGATCCGGCGAGAAACTCAGTGGGCCGTGTCTGTGGGGTGATGATCAAGCTGTTTGTTTGTCGTCTTTGATTTTGACGTTTTGCAGGGCGGTCGCGCAGTTGGCCCGCTCCAGACCGGCCTGTATCTGTCGAAGGCGCGCACGAGCGACGCTTAAGTTAGCGTTCGTCGCTCGCACGCTTTCCTGCGAAACGTAAAGATAACGATGACGGCGATATATAAACAAGACTATTGAGGGTAGAAGCAAGTTTTGATGTGAAACATCTATAGCCGCACGTAAAACCGATTTCTGGCGTGGCGATGCATGCCGTGGCGACGTGTCGCCACGCTATATAATGGTATATATATACAGTCTATATGCAGTAGTGTGTACGGTGTGGCGACGCGTCGCCATGCGCAATCGACTGTGCGATTCTCTCCCACTCGATCCGGCGCTAAGCCATCTCTCTCGCTACACTGAGCTCGGATACCTCTAGTGTATACTCCGTAGTGTATACAGTGTTGTTTACTACAGTACACATAACCTGTGTTTTACTGGAAAACAAATTATTTTTTCGTAATATTTTATTTTATGATTATGACATTTAGTTCCTATCACAATCTGTTCTTTTCTGCATATTACTTTTACAAAATAATGTCGATGTTTCACATCTGCCAGGCTTCCCGTGACGGCTCACATTATTTTTTTTCGTTTCCTACCTGAGCTGATAGCCTTGAGAGGCTATTTCAGCGAAATCTTAACTAGTAGGTGAGCTCACGGGGCTCAAACCTGACGACGATGCCAACACGAACCCTAGTAAGGGCTGTGCTTCGCAGAATTTACCACCGGATCGGAAACGCAACCCACTGAGAAGATCCGACGAGAAACTCAGTGGGCTTTGGCGTAAAGATGGCGATGGCGGCGACTTATAAACAAAACTATTGAGGGTAGAAGCAAGGTAGGTACCACCATCCTGCCTATTTCTGCCGTGAAGCAGTAATGCGTTTCGGTTTGAAGGGTGGGGCAGCCGTTGTACACTATACTTGAGATCTTAGAACTTACATCTCAAGGTGAGTGGCGGCATTTACGTTGCAGATGTCTACGGGATCCAGTAACCACTTAACATCAGGTGAGCCGTGAGCTAGTCCACCAATCTAAACAATAAAAAAAAAGTACTTTATAATCATTAAGTCTCTTAGAAATAGATTCGTTGTCAGTATCTTCGGATTCATCTTTCCCAGAGTCTACTAGATATTCCGGCGCCTTAGTAACAAAAAACGATATAATTACTTGAGTGCGCCGCGTAGGGCACGGGTGACCTACACGGCAGGGTTAAGAAATACCTTCTTTTCGTTCCGTACCTAATAGCTAAATGCCTCGAAGGGCTCCCAGATTTTCTGGGCTCAGTTTGCTAACACTGACCCTAGCGAGAGCAGTGCTTCGCTGAAACTACCCTCAAAACGGAACCGCGACCCGCTGAGCGGATCCGGTGAGCATGCCGCCGTGATCACTCACCTGAACATTGAGCAGAGTTTTGTCAGCATACGTCAGCTTACTGGAGGCTATCTCAGTCGTGTGCCTAACCAGACCTTGTATGGTCGCACGGAGGGAAACGTTGCATTCCCCTTGTAAGAAAAAAAAACTGGTTTTATTTACTAGTTTTCGCAGCGCACCTTTTACACCTTGGGTTACATTATTGGAGTTTTAGTAAGGAAACCAATTTTTTTTAAGCCTATATCGCTGGGGGTAGTGTAGATTCCAAACTGTTAAAGAATTTTTCAAATCGCTTCAGTAGTTTCGGAGCCTATTCAATACAAACAAACAAACAAATCTTTCCTCTTTACAATATTAGTATAGACTAGTTAGTATAGATTGATGGTTTTGTTTTTTGTAAACGACAAAGTGTTTGCTAAGAGAGTTTTAAATATGAATGTGGAAGGCTTTAGATGAAGAGGTAGACTTAAGAAAAAATTAATGGATTGCGTGAAATATGGTATGTGTAAGAGGGGAGTCAGCGAAGAAATGGTATATGATAGAGGAGTATGGAAGGAGGAAACGGGTTGCGCCGACCCCAGGTAACTGGGAAAGGACATGAGGATTATGGTGATAAGAATGATGATGGATTTTTTTCTTGTAGATTTTACAACAAGAAGTGTTAAGCCAAAAAAAGCATTTTTGTTAGGAAAACAACATCAAATGGCGAATTAATTTCAGAGTCATCTCAAGCACTTTCCATAGACTAATCCTAGATTAAGCATGTTAAAAGTCGTATTAAACGTGTAACGTTAAACCTCAGAACACATATCTCAAGGTGGGTGGCGGCATTAACGTTGTAGATGTCTATGGGCTCCGGTAGCCATTTAACATCAGGTGGACTTTGAAAAGTCGGGTCTGTACCACAACTCTGCCCATTTCTAACACTATGCAATCATGCACATTACTGGTGGTAGGACCTCTTGTGAGTCCGCACGGGTAGGTATCACCGCCCTGCCTATTTCTGCCGTGAAGCAGTAATTAATGCGTTTCGGTTTGAAAGTACCATTTAAAGTTTAAAATTTATAAACAACAACATAAAAAAAAGTTTTTCGGCTATTCTAATAGAGTAATAAAAACCTTAATTGAATTTCAAATAAAATATGTTACTACATTTCCCAAGTCGCGGAATGTCTTGTAAGTCCGCACTGGTAGATACCACCACCATATTTCTGCCGTAAAGCAGTAATGCGTTTAGGTTTGAAGAGTGGGGCAGTCGTTGTACTGTAAAAACTGAGACCTAAGAAGGTAGTTGGCGCATTTACGTTATAGATTTCTATGGGCTCCGGTAACCACTTAACACCAGGTGAGCTGTGAGCTCGTCCACCCATCTAAGAAATAAAGAAATAAAAAAATGCATTACAGTGAGAAAGGTCTAGATTTGACTCAAACCTCTAAGACTCTGACCTTGGGTCTCACAGCGCGGATACTTACACAATTTCTGATGCAGTAGACTATTGTAAATGTCGGCCTTTGTATGCGCGTGTGGCGGCATAGCTGTGTTCAAAGGAACGTCTCTCTCTAGTGGATCATCGGCCGGTTTTATCTTCGATTCTGTAATTTTATGAAAACACTAGCTGTACCCGTCCTCTTCACTGGGCATTTAAAATTAAGATTATTATTTCTCACCCCCACAAAGATTCTTATCATTAACGCCCCCGCAACCGGCGTACGGAGTCCAACACTCATATAAATAGTAGCATATGTATTTACCACATGGATACCAAGTTTCAAGTCAATCGGATGCACGGTTCAGTAGTTATAACGGAACATCCGTAAAAACCACTGTAGATTTATATATTAGTATAGACTGGGCTTGAAGCGAAACTCCGTCGGTGCCGGAGAAAGGAGAAGGGTTGGTTGGGCGTGACCTTCCTGTCGAGCATCGGAAGGCGGTGAAACACCCCGACTTCTGCAAGGAATGCAGATAAAGCTACCACAAGGCCCAAAGCATTAAATACCCAACCCGCAACGGACAGCGTGACGTTTTAAGGCCAATAACTTTCATGCACAGACTTTTAGCAGTGCATTTGAATAGACCTACACTCAGCATTTATTACTGGTGGTAGGACCTCTTGTGAGTCCTCGCGGGTAGGTACCACCACCCTGGGTATTTCTGCCGTGAAGCAGTAATGCGTTTCAACTTGAAGGGTGGGGCAGTCGTTGTAACTATACTGAGACCTTAGAACTTATATCTCAAAGTGGGTGGCGCATTTACGTTGTAGATGTCTATGGGTTCCAGTAACCACTTAACACTAGGTGGGCTGTGAGCTAGTCCACCCATCTAAGCAATAAAAAAAATGAATTTATTTTACTTTATTTATAACCGAGATAAAAGTTTTATAAAATATAATCAAACCCATTAACATCAAGAAGTAAATGCTCGTACCATTTGAAATATGAGGCTTTAAGTGTTAATTTTTACAAAGGCTGTTACACCCTTCGAGACAATTAAGATTTTTTGTTATAGATAAAGACAGTTTTATGATACATATGTCTATAAATTAGCTATAGACACTTCGTAGTGAGAAAACTTACCATCATCAGACTCCTCTGCTTCTCCAGTCACCACAAACGTTTTAGAGTTCGTAGATATTTCGGAGTCCTGCAAAACTGTAAATTACTAAGCTCTCCAATGTTAAGCATACATGAAGTTTTGGTATCTTCTTAGTTGTAGCAATTACAGAATGACTACTACTATATGGAATTTAAGTTTGAATTCCCAGTCCGATTTAATTTGTGTGATTTAAACCATACATATCTTTGAATATGTTATAATATTTGTATTTGATAGCTGAAGATGCATTAAAGTCATAGTCCTGACTATGTGAAAGCGCTGGTTATTGTCTACTGACCTACTCGAGGTAGACTTTATTAATTTGTGATAACGCGGTTGTTCTCAATAATTCGAGGTCCTCTTTGACAATGATGCATTAGAAGAATTATTTCAGTATTTCCGGGTGGTTACCTCGCATCCTTAACTTTGACATGCTTAATCCAAACTTCAATTCTCATGTACGTAGGAGTTAATGTAATAAATAAACAAACGGTAGATTTGTAAACGAACTCACAGGTGTTCTGCCGATTTCGAGTTCTGAATCTGATTCGGAGGCTTCTCCGTCGACAACGTGTGCATTTTTCGACATTATTAAAGAATGAAATTAGCAACAAAAGTATTAAGAGACTTTTTATCACAATTATTAATACGCTGCTCTAAAGTTTAAGTTTGTTTTCATTTTTTAGAGATGTTAGACAGAGGCCCGCAGATAATACCAAGATTAATACCAAGGTCGCTTCATATGGATAAAACAAAACCTAAAATATTCATGTTATTACAATATTGTTTCATTGGTTGAATGATTTTTCTAATTAATTAATTCTTCATTAGCTTATAGCATTCTTGATTTTTTATTTTAGACTGACAGTAGGGCGAAACGGACGACATCGACGATACCGTTGCGGGCGGAACAGTGGTGTTTTTCGTTGCGTGCTCTGTGCAATACTTACTATATTTATTCAGAGATCTTTCATTCATACCAAGGTATTTTTAAGAAGAAACATTAAAAAATTCATCCTACAAGTATGTTATTTCATTATGGATCAGTAATAATGATTAAAAATGAAATATTTTAGATGCTTCGAGTGTCATTCAACAGTCTATCAGGAAATCTAACAAAAGAGCATTCCTAAAAACCTTAGTAATCTTATTACGGATTCGATTATGCAATGAAATACTAACGAAGCTCTTACATAAGGTAAGATTCATAATCATGAAAATTGGTATAAATACCAACAAGACAGTAATATAATAACAACCCTGAATTCATGACTGTGTTGTGTCAAATGTCAGATTTTCACTTGTGTCACTGCTTTTAGCCATAGACCTATATAGTAGGGACCATAGACCTATATAGTAGGGACACGACATATTGTTCTATACGTACAATTGCTTATATAAATAGCACCCATTTTGAAGGCACACACATAAACATATATCTATCTCGTTCTTACTCAGCACTTTAACTCGCAGGAAAACAATATAACAGTATTTCAGTGAGTACATAAAATGAAACATGAATATACGTAAATATATCTGTCTCCGTCTAAGGAGGCCGAAAATCCGCCATGTTGAGCGCACCAAATGTCATTGTCACGTCAGTTCGGCCGTCTGTTTTGGGTTGTACATTATTTATTGACTTTGATATCGATTTAATATGATTGCTTATATAAAATTTCATATTTTATCATGCTTAAAACATACAAAAATAATAATTAAAACGTATTTTATAGGATCTCAAGAAAGTCGATGCCCCAAAACTATTATCTATATATATTTAAATTCATTATGGAGCCCTCATCCGAAAAAATCGGACACCATTTTTCGGTCGGAATCTATTGATCATGACACTAATCATAAATACCTCTTTAAAATATGTCATCAAAACATATTTAGACATTCTGTTTAGATATTTCGGGAAAAAGGCTACCGACAAAATCTCTTCGGAACTATTTAAATAAAATATTTTTATTACGCAGTGAGTAAAACACTATTGTAAATTCGTTAAATATTTAATAATTAAGTGATTTTAGAGAGGAAGTCACAAGGAATGACGTTTGTAATTAATGAATAAATGTTCTGTATGTGTTTTTTTTTTTCACGCAGTCCCTTGATAAGTTTACAATTTGAATCACTCTCAAGTGAAAGTGATTCAACTTCCTTGAGGTGCACTGCGGTAACGTGTTACGGACTTTAGAGTCAGCAAAACAATTAAAGTAGATTGTAATAGTCTAAGAAAAACACGTACTCAAAATACGATAACATTCAGCATGCTAGAAATGGGCAGATGGCACTGTACTACGCCATATCTTTATGTTTTGCGACAAACGACAACTTTATAAAATCAGTGTAGCAACTTTTAAAAATCATCATATCGTTTACTTGGCAAATTCTAAGGACGAACTTGTTTTAGATTTCACACATCTAAATCATATCATATTTGCACATAACAATATACCTACTTACTTCCCATTAAAGTATAAATTCTACAAATAAATAATACTCAACAATATTTAAAATAAAATGAGCCAAGAAAGTTTATCGATAAAGCCTGATAACATTGAAATCTTTTGTACAGCACTAAAACCGCCATGTTTTGTGGTCAGATGACGTCACAGTGGCACGAATTTTTTGTTGACGTTTCATTTCCATAGGTTTCCTACTTCAGTGGTAGGGACACGACATATTGTTCTATACGTACAATTGCTTATATAAATAGCACCCATTTTGAAGGCACACACATAAACATATATCTATCTCGTTCTTACTCAGCACTTTAACTCGCAGGAAAACAATATAACAGTATTTCAGTGAGTACATAAAATGAAACATGAATATACGTAAATATATCTGTCTCCGTCTAAGGAGGCCGAAAATCCGCCATGTTGAGCGCACCAAATGTCATTGTCACGTCAGTTCGGCCGTCTGTTTTGGGTTGTACATTATTTATTGACTTTGATATCGATTTAATATGATTGCTTATATAAAATTTCATATTTAATCATGCTTAAAACATACAAAAATAATAATTAAAACGTATTTTATAGGATCTCAAGAAAGTCGATGCCCCAAAACTATTATCTATATATATATTTAAATTCGTTATGGAGCCCTCATCCGAAAAATCGGACACCATATTTCGGTCGGAAACTATTGATCATGACACTAATCATAAATACCTCTTTAAAATATGTTATCAAAACATATTTAGACATTCTGTATAAATATTTCGGGAAAAAGGCTACAGACAAAATCTCTTCGGAACTATTTAAATAAAATAGTTTTATTCCGCAGTGAGTAAAACACTATTGTAAATTCGTTAAATATTTAATAATTAAGTGATTTTAGAGAGGAAGTCACCAGGAATGACGTTTGTAATTTTATTAACGAATTAATGTTCGGTAGGTGTTTTTTTTATCAGGCGGTCCCTTGATAAGTTTAAAATTTTAATCACTCTCAAGTCAGAGTGATTCAAATGGTTCGGCGCACCTTCCTTGAGGTGCGCTGCGGAAGTGTGTTACGGACTTTAGTGTCAGCAAAACAATTAAAATAGATTGTAATAGTCTAAGAAAAACACGTACTCAAAATACGATAACATTCAGCATGCTAGAAATGGGCAGATGGCACTGTACTACGCCATATCTTTATGTTTTGCGGTAAACGACAACTTTGTAAAATCAGTGCAGCAAATTTTAAAAATCGTCATATCGTTTACTTGGCAAATTTGAAGCACGAACTCGTCTTAGATTTCACATAATATCTAAATCACATCATATTTACACATAACAATATACTTACTTCCTATTAAATTTAAAATTCTACAAATACATTCATACTTAACAATATTTAAAATAAAATGAGCCAAGAACGTTTATCGATAAAACCTACTAACATTAAAATCTTCTGGGCAGCACTAAAACCGCCATGTTTTGTGGCCAGTTGACGTCACAGTGGCACGAATTTTTTGTTGACGTTTCATTTCCATAGGTTTCCTACTTCAGTGCTTTTAGCTTTTTTTGCTTAATTCGTCTATTCAACAAGCAAAAGAAACATGGAGTATACTCCATGTTTCTTAAGTATACTTCCAATCTTTGGAAGTATACTTCCAATCTTTCAATTTGATGTGATTATGAAAAGTAAGGTGGAATAAAGTTAGGTTATAAAGTACTTTACTTTTAAAGGAAACAAGCTTTCACTAAAACGCCAAATTTTCAGACCAGAGAAAGCTCAGATTTCACAAAATCCTTGGAGCTTTGCCCTTGCAAGGTCCTTACGAAGATTACAAACGGATAAGTTATGTCAGTGATATTCATTAATCATAGACCTACTTATCTCCTAAATATTATAAATATATCCACGTCTCTTTGCAGGTTAGTCAAGTAACAAGTACATGCACAAATTACTAAGATGTGACAATTTTGAGGATGAAGTTACTTGTGGCAGCAATCGAGACCTAGGCTACTTTGTACTACAGCGTACTTCGACGTGTTAGACGAGAAATGAGCCTATAGAATCAGCTGAGTCTTCTCAGCGGGTCGCTATTTCGATCTAGCAGTAGAAGCATTGCTGAAGCAGCCGTTGTTGAGCACTTAGGCTTAGTGCTTCGGAGCCCTTTTTCTTCTCCTGACCTTGTAGTCTAAGGAGCTATTGCAGCGCTGCGTGGATAGATGAGCTCTCGGGCTGAACCTAAGATAATTTCCTAATACTAGCCCTATCAAAAGCAGAATCTACCACCGGATCGGAATCTTGACCAACTGAGAAAATCTAGCGAGGAACCCAACGGGTTATGTCTATGGGTTAGCTCGCTCGTCATAGTCGACCATCAGGTGGGTGGCTGCCCCGCCCTTCAAACCGAAACGCAATGCTGCTTCACGGCAGAAATAGGCAAGACGGTGGTACCTGCCCGTGCTCACAAGACTACTCACTTACTCACCAAAAGCTAGTGAACACGGTATAAAGTCGACCATTGACAGACCTTGTTCCATGGGGAGTGCTCTAAGGAATTGTTCGAGATGATACCGGCATCTCGTTTTTACCATCGCACCGCCCGCCACCGGAGTAGAGCTCATCCATACAACCTGGAGCCACTGCGGTCATCCACAGTGCGTTTCCAGAGGTCTTTTTTGCCACGTACCATCCGGCTTTGGAATGAGCTCCCCTCCACGGTGTTTCCCGAGCGCTATGACATGTCCTTCTTCAAACGAGGCTTGTGGAGAGTATTAAGCGGTAGGCAGCGGCTTGGCTCTGCCCCTGGCATTGCTGAAGTCCATGGGCGACGGTAAACACTCACCATCAGGTGGGCCGTATGCTCGTCTGCCTACAAGGGTAATAAAAAAAAAAGAACTATATGACTATTTATAGTATTCAAAAGCATACACATACAAGATAAATACATGTATTATATTTTTAGTGCTGAGCTTATTTTCACATATTTTGCAGAAATCGCCAAAGGATTTTTGAGAAAAAAAAGGTACCTTATAAAAAGCTTTAACATAAAAAAAGTACAAAAATTAATACTAAATTCACAGCTAAATAATTGAATAAATTGTTATTTATAAATGTTATTGACTTATTAAAAGTATTATAAGTGCGCACGCTTAAGCACGTCTGTACAGATCTATACCTAATAATACTATAATCAAAC